CGTTCCGTCTTCTTCCATGGCTGACTGTAGCAAAATATTGATTGTGGCATTTCTTATGGCAATCCATGGCTAGAGCTTAATAATTCTCTAATTCAACAACAATGGCAGGAGCTTAGATCATCAAGGGGGAGTTTTAGTTGCTTTAATTTCCTGTCTAATAATTGTTTAACAATTCCTAGGTCTTAGGATAGTGATTCTGATTATTAGAAAATTTTGTATTGTTAAATCTGATTATCTGTGGAGATTTTTGTGGCTGGATTACTGTTTAGCATTTGACATTGGGTTATTTATAGCTTTGATTTCAATTATGATGTTGTGGTTATAACATTTGTATTGATTTTAGAGTTAATATATTGTGATTTTCTAAGGTGACTTGGAATCTTGGATCATATTGTCTCTTGCTAGTTTTAAGTCTATTGTTTTGGATTTAAGAGTTCTAATTAAGCATTGGTTTTTAGCATCCTTAATCCCATTTTACTATTCTGGTTGCAGTTAGTAAGTTGGGATTTTAGGAAAATATTTTGTGGCAACTCGAGGTGGCTCGGTTGTTGGATCAAAAGCTTAATTATAATTCTTAATTCATTGTTTTTAACTTCCATATCTTTTAGAGTGATGATTGCCTGCGTTGTTGAATTGGAGGATTGATTTTTATCAGTGTTATTTGTGTCTCTCATTTTCATTTCTTTAATCTTCATTCATTTTAATCACTTTTATATAAAAACAAAAAAAAAGTATTTTAATTTTAATTTGATTCGTAGGATTTAATTAACAGTTTTTCAAAATCAAAAATCCCTTTTATATAGTTTAGGTTACTTGCGTTTATTTACTAGGATTTAATTTCGTTTTCGACTCCTCAAAGTGAATACGACCCGGGTTGTGCACTATATTGCATTAATTCGGTTAATTTTTGGAGTAACCCCAAAGCGATAATTAAGGGAAGTTAAACTTCACTCCTCTCATAATTGTTCCTAATGAAAATATATGTTAGTCTAGGATTCAAAATGTACTTGTAAAAGCTTTTTCAAGTCAAGAACAAGTGTTTAATTCTATTAATTGCTCAATCTCTTGTTACAATTAATAAAACCCAATTTTAAGCTCTAATCCTTAGGTGACTATGTAAGGTTAGCAAGTATATCTCTATCTTACCAAGAAAACCATCCATTCAACAAGCAAACTTTAAGTTCTTACACAATTTTACCCAAGTTCTGTACTTAAGCTAGCCCTCCCAAGCATCACTCAAATAAACAGAACATCTAAATGGTGATCAAGCACTTAGAAGCATTAAGCAAGGGGTAAAATAAACACATATATATCATTAATCACAAAATGAGAGGAGGAATCAAGAGTTAATCCATACAAGGGTTTAAAATAATCCTAGAATCAAAGCTTTAGCCACAAATGTTTAGAACTCCCATGAGAAAATACATATATTTAGTAGAAACATTGAACAAGAGGAGGGAGAAGGAGAATGGAGAAGAAGAACCAAGATGTAAAGCCTAAATCTCTTCCAATCTTCAAATCCCAACTCAATCTCCACCAAAGTCCTCACCCTAGCACACCAAAGCTCTCCCAAGATAGCCCCAAAACCATCACGTTTCTCCTTCCATTTAACTCTAATAGTACGTCAGTAATTGAAACGCATAGCAGCAGATTTTCTTCATTCGCTGTGGATTGGCCATGGTGAATCAACAACGAGTAGCCACAAATTTCACCCCTCTTAGGCTGCATTTTCCTTGTGTTTGCTGTAGCAGTGGTTGTGGTGAACCAACAACAAATGTACTGAAAAATGAGAGTTTTCTGTATTAGTCTTCAGAGCTCTTCCATGCTTCCTTCCGGCTAATCTACTCTTTGAGGGTGTCTTACATAGCTTGAAAACGCTGGTCTCTATTCTCCTACTTAGAGGAGAAATGTGTAAGTTCTAAACAACTCCAAATAATCACAATTATCTCAAGAGTGTTCTAAAAAGCTAAACTAAACACATTTTCCTTAATGGTTCTATTTCTATGCACAATTTAACTCTTAAAAGAGGTAGTTAAGGATGAAAATGTGATAAAAAAAGATATGAATTTCTTGGAGTTAACGATAAATGAAAGAGATAGAGTTTGGGGATTTTGAGAGAGATTTCTCATGCAATGGTAATGTACCCAAGTTAAGTATTAATTTGTTCCTATAAATGTATTATGAATTTCATAATTGCTAACAAAACAAAGGGGAAAGTAAAACTAAAGAAAGTTCAAGCAAGAGGAGGTAACTTGGAAGAAGAAAGGAAAGGTAGTGAAACTTATTGACACTTATATAGTTTGTGCTTGGTTGGTTGAATGTTTATTTGCCCTGTATGTCTTTGAACATGTAATATCCTTGCTTGAGTTGGTGTCGTGGCCAGGTGTATTTGCTTGTAAGTTGTTCTTCTGAATTATATTGCCCATTTACATGCTTAATTAATTATCATTGCACATTATATACTGAGTTGATGTTTTGCTATTGAGATTCTTTTGAATCTCACCCTTTTTTCTCCCATTTATTAATAGTAAGAGCAAGTTCTTCAAAGGAAAGGCAGGCTTATAGGGAAGATTCGAAGGTGGAGACTCCAAAAAAGTTTTTAGCTATTATGATATAAATATTATTTTTATACTTATAGTATTTGGTAGCCATGTGTGGCTGTAATTTTGTATATAAATATATGTAATTATGTAAAGAGAATGTGGGCTGTAAAGAGGAAAGTAATGGCTATTGTAGCTTGCAAGTGAGTGCTGTCTGCTCTGAGGGCTGTATGGTGGTAAAATAGATGTAATAATAGCTAATTATATTCACTTATCTTATTATGCAAGGGCAAGTGTATGCATAGTGCCCAGGGATAGAGAAGTTGCTCAAGTAGAAGAATTCTTGTGTTGACTTATTTGCTTAGTATGGGGCTTTGACAGTGTTAGAGCTTGGGTCTTAAGACAATTTTACCAGTTTTATAAAAAGGTTAAATCAAGTGCTTGAACCACTAGATAGGCTTCACCGAAACTAAGTTTGAAAAGTTTGTAATTTTTCAAAAAAAAATCTCATTTCTTAAATAGGATCGAACAATATGTTTTCGAAGGGAAAAAAATTCTCAAGATGAAACCTAGTTTTAGTGGTTTGAAGTTATTTAGAATAACTCTATTGGTATGGAAAGATAATATATGTTACAGTAGTGTAGGGATTGGATTTCAAATGAATCAAAATTGTGGGGACTCAATGATTAATTTTCCCTTTAATTTATCATGAAAATTCCCCTTTCCTATTTTCTTCTATTATTTTCGGGTTAAATAATTTGGCTAGCCTCTTGTATGCTAAAAAACTATTTTCAGAGTAGAAATTTATTTTTGTGGCTTCGAACACTCACAAAAATGGGTGACAAATTTTCATTTCACCCATTTGTCGCCCCACCTTTCCACTTTGCCTATATATTCTCCCTAAAATAAATTACTCCCCTCTTTTACTGGTGTGGCTGAAGTTCATATATGGGGAGAAGGCAAAAAAATAAAAAAGTAATTTTGAAAGTTCCCTTGACGCCGCTACTCATGGAGTAAGAAAAATTCAAGTTTTTAATTTGGGGATTACTTACTTCTTCACATCTCCCAGCACAACAAATAACCCTAATTTAGTATGAAGATCAGAAGATGAAGTACAGATATATAGAGCTTTCCTTCTTAATTAAACATACATAAGCTTTATTGCTTGAAAAGACATTAAGTTTGAGGACGAAAACCTGGAGCCTTGAATGCTGCCTCGCTAATTAAACAAACGATGGAACACCTACAAATAATTTACACACACCCACACACAAAAGATTCCATTCCATGCCATAAATAGATTGGTCTTCGTTAACATATAATAATAATAATAATAATAATAATAATAATAATAATAATAATAATAATAATAATAATAATAATAATAATAATAATAATAATAATAATACAGAGTTTTCACAACATACTCCTTTGTAAGGCTTCACTGCTATTCCGGTTCAATAATATTAGCTCAATATTATGTACTAGTAGGATCGAGGAAGATACCTATAAACCTCACGATTATCTGAAGATTCATTATTGGTTCTGTCTCTTGATCAATAGTATAAGAAATTATGAATTAATTCAAAGGAAGTGCCTTTTAAACGTCAGTGATTCACAAGATGCATGTAGGAAAATTAGAGTCTTAGTTAATTTCATATGAAACACTACTAAATATCAGTATCCAAAGGTATTTACATTATAATACCTCCTGTCCTAATTATAAGAGCTAGTTGACTAATTTGAGGAGATTAAAGATGTAAGCTGACTTAGTTATTTGTCCTAAATAGATATTTTCTTTTCTAAAATATCTTTGCTAATCAAGTATATTGGTTAGAACTATCATTGTTAGAAGGACTACTTTAAAAAAAAATGTATAAATATAAGAGATAAAGTGGACTGGGGTCTTATATTTATAACCAAAGTAAAAATCAAACAAGGTCTCATATTAAGGACCGAAGGTAGTAATATATAAAACCATGTCACCCCACTTTATTTTGTCATTTTTATCTCTTTAATTCCATTTTATCTCAAACCCACTTTTGCGTCGGGCTAGTAAAAATTTATTTGGGTTACAATTTTAGTAATTTTTTATTAATCCATTTAAAAACAAAACTCAAGTTTTCTTGGGGGATTACTTCACGTTATGAAGTTAAGAAGGCAAGGTGAGTCTGTGTGTGTACGTAGAGCTTTTATTCTTGATTGAACACACATAAGCTTTATTTCGTAGCAAATCGTTTGCCATTTCTTGATACCCAATACATGCATAATACAAGACACTGATTTATAACCAACACATACATAGTGCAACACATAACTAGTGTACTTTATACCACAATGGATTGCTAGGCTTTATTCAACGGCAAATGGTATGCCATTTATTTATGCCCAATACAACCATAGTACAACACATAACTGGCGCACTTCATACAACTGTATATTATTGCTGAAGGTTGTGCTTCATATGGGAGCAGCAAGCTTCGAAACATGTGTTTGTTTGGTTGGGTATGCACCAGAACAATTTATGTTACATACTCCTTGAGTAGTACCTGTGTTTGTTTTGATCAAGATGTAACCATGTTGTCCCCAGTTAGATCCCCATGAGTTTTTGACAATCCAATAATCTTGACTATCACCTAATGAACCGTATCCGAGGATTAATACAGCATGATCATGTTTGCAGGAATCGATTCCTGAGCAATCATCCCCCTTAAATATTGCCTGTCTAAGTTAAGAAAACAACTGTTAATTACCTTAAGAACATGCCCTTTTGGATGGTCAGTTAATGAAAACATTACTTACACCATTATACAACTGAGAATCTCGGCTTGCAAATAGGGAAACACTAACAGGTTGCTGCAAAACTAAGCAACGAAGAGAACTTTCGGACACAGGATTGTGATACCAATAATTATAGCCATCAATAGTAGCAGATTTCTTTTGTGCCTACGTCAAAACAAAATAAAAGTTAAAGAAATACATATATTTAAACAACCCAATTAGTTAACACAGGCATGAACACTAACCAATGCGTTATTGCAAACACTGTTGTCAGCTGTATATGGATAATCCTTCTCTGATGCAATACCGTTATTGTTGATGACATATCGAAATTAAATGCGTTAACGTGCCACCCACCTCCCTTGCAACCTTTGCTTTTCTGATCGCAGGATATGAGTTGCTGTTCAGAAAGAGCCAGAAGCTGTCCCGAGACTATTTTATTTATTCCTTCCATAGCTCCAGTTGCAGAGAATGCCCAACAAGTGCCTATAAACATGAATTTTATTTGCTATTAAGCATATTTCATATACCACAGTTAGCTGATAATGCAAAACCAAAAGAAAAAAGTGAATTTAGACTTACCACATGGGTTTTGGTTTTTGACATGGGTTACAGCTCCTTCGGTTCTCCAATCGAAAGAAGAAGGTGCGTTAAGACAGGACATGTCGTTCAATGCTATTCTGCTACTGTTGCTTTCTATCATGGGTTCGTCAGGCTCATGTAAGTAGATTTTGCTGAACTCTTCATAACTCATCAGAAAATTTGTTCAGGCCCAAACAGTAGTCACTGGGTGACTTCCTTTCTGCATTTTTCTCTCTCATGTACTTGAAATTGCTTTTGAAAACATGAAATCTATGTACCTCCTCTTCTAGGGTTTGGTATTCTCGTTGAGTCTCCTTCTTCCACATTTGGAAAAGACGGAAAATTTCTTGTTCAGAGGTGAACTTGTCTAGATCTATATTCCGAATGGAATACTCATCAGACATACTGGAACGGATACAGATTGAAGCATACCAAACGAAGAAAAGGAGGAGCAGTTAGGTAGCAAGTGGACTCATTGTGTGATGGATATCAGGAGTTCATATTTTGCATGGTTTTGGCATAGCTTTATTCCATATGTATATATAGAGAGATAACCCCAGTAAGGAGGAGCAAACGTGAAACACGGGAGGTTTTGGCAGATTCTGCGCATGACGATGTACAGTATTGCCACTTCCAAAATAATTGCTATGACGCCAAGCCACCAGTTCCGGGGACCCATTTCCGATGAGCACATTAAACTCATCAAATTTGGACCGATTTAAACAGTCCAAACTTCAAATCTTTAATTAATTATTCTAAATGGAAAAATTATTTTTTGAAAAAAAATAATAATTAAGAGATTATCTTTATTTTAGATGTTATCCATATTAAAATAATTATTTTAAATAAATAAAAATAAAAAATTAAATTCTGACCATCCAAACAAGATATGGGTAGTCGTGCTTTCACACACCAAAAATGACGAAGATTGCAACATCTCAAATGTTTTAAATTCACTTGTGTTTTGGATGCTATACATTGAAGCTGTCAAAGTTTTCACGTGGAATAGAATATTGTTAAAATTTATTTAACTTCCAAATTGTTATCATTATCAAAATTATTAATACTAATATTTTGTTGTGAATTTGAAATGAAAGATTTTATTTAACTTTGTTCAAATTTCACCAGGATTTTTATCAAGTTTTAAATTTCACCTTACGAACGGACAAATGGGAAGAACATGTAGAGAGACGGAGAGAAGAAGTGGGTTGGTAATCAATAAAGTTATTATATTACTTAGTCTCATCCTTAGTATAAGATCTAGGTAATTTATTTTGAAAGATCAAGGAAGCTAATAAATTACTTTTAAAGTATTTGTATTTATCATTTTTCTTCAAATTACTTTGTCTCACTTAATTTAGTAACTTCTTAATCTATCTAAATTAATCAACTAGGTCTTATACTAAGGGTTGAAGAAGGTAGTATTAGATAAATGACGCAATAGGTTTTTGAGATCCAGAAATTCAAAAATGATAATTTTGATATAAATATTACACCCCCATATTACTTTTCACAAGCTACAATTCTTTGAATGATGAATTTGTTCTTTTTTAATCTCTATTATGTCTAAATATTTAAGGCTTTTTTTTTTTTTGCATTTTTACCCTCAATTAATTACATGTTTCTTGCATCTATCTTTTTTTTTACTCATTTTCTCTCGTCTCTTTTTGCATTCATTCTCTCTCACATTCCCACCCACATTTTTCATAAATAAAGAATGCTTTTGGCAAATAAATTATATTTTTTTATACATATTTATTACTTTTAACTAATGTTAACCAGCTTTTTAATCTACAGTTATTTGTATCTTATATATATAAAAAAAGAATATATTTCTCAACTTATAATTAGTTCTCCTCCCCACTTAATAAAGTTCATAACCTTCTCTATCCTCCCCTCCATATTGAACCAAACAGAGCCTTTGGTGAGAGAGAGGGAGTAAGTTGCTGCAAATAATCTTCCAAGTTCCATCGTCTTTGTTGTCATCTGAGACATACAGCTCAGGACGAGGGAAGTCGCGACAGCAGTTAAGGCAAAGCATTACATGTTGCGACCCCCCCCCCAAAAAAAAAAACATACAAACGTGAACAAAAGAAAAAGTAGACAAAAACAATGACTGAAAGTGCCGTGCTAACAAACAATTTTTTTCCATCACTAACTAAATTAGCAACGGATTACAAATATTTTTATTTGTAATTAAATATTAACCGAATTTTTATTTGTAATAACTAATGAAATGTAGTTAATACACAAACAAAAGTTGTGAATGACATGAGTGACCTTATTACTTACTATACGAAAGTTGTTAATAACTGATGAAATGTAGTTAATATATAAACAAAAGTTGTGAATGACCCTGAAAGAGTGATCTTGTTGCTTGTTAAACGAAATTGTTCGTAGATAATAAAATGTGATCATTACCTCAATGAAAGTTGTGAATGACAAGAAAAAATGGCTTTGTCATTCTTTCAAACTTGCAGTGTTATGCGCCTCCTATGGGTTCCTTTAGGTTTGTTGTTTCAGTTCCGTATGTTTGGGCTATGTTTCTATTGTTGTGCACAATGGGCCTCTAATTTTCATGTTGATGCATGGGTAATTGGGGATCCTTTCTTTGCCTGATGTAATCCTTTAGTTTGGTTCATAATTGAAGAAAAAAAAATACTACTTCTGATTCATAATATAAAAAATTAGTTGACTTTTCTTACATATTAAGAAATAAAATACCTACATGTAGCCCAAAAAAAAAAACACTACACCTCTTGGTTTATAATATAAAAAATTGGTTAACTTTTCTCATATGCCAAGGAAAAAAAAATGCCCATGCATAGCCAAAAAAACAAAAGAAAAAACTCCTTTTAGTCCCTAATATAAGAAATTGGTTAACTTTTTTCACATACTGAGAAATGAAAATTTAGTCATTAAATTTATCATAAAATGATAAAGTTTTCCTATTTTCCTATTTTATACGTTGCACAGTATTTTATTTTAACATTTTTTGTTGGGTCAAATATTTTAATATTGTTGACTTCAATTAAAAGCTCTGAATCAACGGATGTCCCCCCGCATAGGATTGTGTTTGAGTTTAACGTGCTTGTCCCTTAAGGGCATTTGGATTCTCTTCATAAATGCGAATTAATTCTCACTTGTTGTATTGAGGTTAACCCTATGCGGTTGACAGTTCCGTTGTTTTAGGAGTTATCAGTTGACACGAATCTGGCAGTAAAATATTACTCCTCTGGTTTTATTTATATGGCAGAGAAAGAAGACATTTTTTTGTACTATTTATAAGGCATTGAGAGGAATTTTTGGTATGAATGTATAATTTTACCCTTAATTTGTTATGGTTTTGACTTTGTTTATATGAGGTATAATGTATATTAAATAGGGATAAAGTTGAAAAGTTGTAAAATTTCAAATGAGAATTAATAAAGTTTAAAATTTTTCTTAGTTTGTGTGAAACATATTAGAAATAATTTATAAATAGGACCAGAGAAGTATGCATGTGGGTAGCACAGTTAGCATTTATCTAGGTTCCTTAAACATCTAGTCAGGGGTTTAATCCCTACAGTGTGTACAGTGTGTATGGAAAGGGTCTCATGATCAGCACTAAAACACAGTGTAAGGGGATTAGTCACTTTTATTGGCATAGATACCGTGAGCTTAACCAAAAAAATTTAAAAAAATGCATGTGGTCTTAAAAAAATTATGCATGTCCTCCTCGACGAACTCATGTGCAAGTTAGTTTGGATCTATATTAATTTAAAAAAAATAAAGCAGTTGAGAGTGAGTTGGAGGAAGAGAAACACTCTAATTATTGCATATCATGTTATATACCATATGAACGTAATTGATCCGAATACATATTTGATCTTACAACACATGACAACATGAAAAGATTGAGAATATATTTTGCCTGCTGTAATGACATTGGATTTTTACCCAACTTTTGTCTCTCGCCTGGTGTAATTTGTGAAGAATGAAATAAAGGATTGTTAATCTTAACAAAGTGCGATGCCAATCCCCAAGCCCAACAAGTGTATAAGGGATGTATTTTACTTCATATTTTTTTGAATGACAAGCGGTTTGACATACAAATGGAAAAATGAAAAATGAATTAAATATTCAAATATCTCCAAATGTAGCTTATAATAAAAAGACCACATCTATTCAAGAAATTAAAGTTTATAAAAAGAACCGGAGGGAGGATTTTCTTTGAAGTAAATTACTCCCCCTTTTTTGCTGCCCTGGCCGAACTTCTGTACAGAGAGAAAAATTATTTTTGGAAGTCCCCTGACTCCACCCATGGAATTAGGAAAAAGGGAAGGAGATTCTTGTCAAATTCATTGTTGGTTGTGTCTCTTGATCAATTGTATAAGAACTTATGAATTATTTCGAAGGAAATGATTACTAAACATTAGTGATTCACAAGATGCTTTGTAGGAAAGAGTCTCAGGGGCTGTTTGGAAGAAAACCAAATCATAGTTTTAAAAATAATTTTATGATATATGAAGTAAATATATAATAAAAGTTTTGTCTTTGTTTGAGTAAAAGTACTTTTTAAAAAGTAATTTTTGTGATTACCAAACATCCGGTTACTATTAAGAGCAAGGCAAAAAGAGGAAATCAATTTCATTTGAAATACTTGGAAAAAGATCAGGATCCTAAACTTTTCGCATCATAATATATAAAACATGTCACTCAAGTTTATTCTGTCATTTGCATGTCTTTAGTTCAATTTGATCTCAAAATCACTTGCGTTGGACTAGTTAAGATTTATTTGGGTTACAATTTTAATACTTAGAAATTATTAATTCACGTATAAACAACATCAAGTTTTCATAACAGATTACTTACTTACCTTCATGTTTTATCAGCGCGCTCTGATTCAATATGAAGATCAGAAGGAGAAGTAAATATATACAGAGGGAGAGCTTTCATTCTTAATTAAACATACGTAAGCTTTATTCCACGGCACACATAACTATATATCGCCACCAGACTCATTTATTCCATGGAAGATCATTTGCCATTTATTTATACCCGATACAAGCATGGTACAACACCTAACTGGTGTCTTTCACACAGCTTTATATTGCCTGGCTTCGTATACTGTTCCTGGAGGGCGTGCTTCATATGGAAGTGACAAGCTTCAGGGCAGGTTCTTCTTTCTTCCCCTTGGTTGGGTATGCGCCAGAACACTTTATGTTACATACACCCCGAGTAGCACCGGTGTTTCTTTTGATGAGTATGTAACCACTTTGTCCCCAAGTGGAACCCCATGAGTTTTTAACGATCCAGTAATCTTGACCATCACTGGTTGAACCATATCCTACGATTAATACAGCATGATTATGTTTGCATGATGAACTGATGCCTGAGCAATCGTCTCCATTAAAGATTCCCT